ACTACTGGGCCCTCTACTACTTACACTACTACGACTCTACTACTACTACTACTACGCTACCTACCCTACTAACTACTACTACTCTACTACTACTACTACTAGTAGTACTACTACTACTACTACTAACTACTACAGTACTCTTACTACTACTACTACTATTACTACTACTACTACTACACTACTAACGACTACTACTACTACAACTCGAACTTACTACTACTACTACTACTACTACTACTACTACTACTACTACTACTGCTACTACCACTACTGCTACTAGTACTACTACTGGGCCTACTACTACTACGACTACTACGACTACTACTACTACTACTACTACTACTACTACTACTGCTACTACCACTACTGCTACTAGTACTACTACTGGGCCTACTACTACTACTACTATTACTACCACTACTACTACTACTACGACTACTACTACGACTACGACTACTACTACGACTACTACTACTACTACTACTACTACTACTACTACTACTACTACTACTACTACTACTACTACTACTCTACTACTACTACTACTACTACTACTACTACTACTACTACTACTACTACTACTACTACTACTACTACTACTACTACTACTACTACTACTACTACTACTACTACTACTACGAGTACTACCAATGCTATTACCACTGCTACTTGTACTGTAAGTGCGTGCGCATTGCCGCCGGGCCCCAGGCTCTGCGGTGCTCGCGCGCGCTGTGTTCACAGGCGTTGTGGCGTTCACACGGGTTGCGGCGTTTTCTGGTTATGTCGCGTGCACAGGCGATGCGGCATTCACGGGCGCTGTGGCGTTCGCAGGCGCTACGTTGACAGGCGCTTTGGTGTTCACAAGCGCTGTGGTTTTCACAGACGCTGCGCTCGTCAAAAGCATTGTGCCGTTTACGGGCACGTCGCGTTGATCGGACCGCAAACTATTGTAGCGCTTGACATAGGCGCGTCGTGGCTGTCGGGTCGCAAGCGATTTTTTCGCTGGCGTACTACAGGTGGTGTGCACGTTGACAGCTGTATACACAGGCGCTGTTGTGCACCCGTGCGTTGCGACGTACGCTGACGATGTTGTGCACGCGTAGGTTGCTGCATCAGCATGCGTGGTGTTCGTGGGCATTGCGGCGCTGTGTAGCACTCGCAGCTGCTAGGTCCTTTCGTTGCATGAGTGCTATGACCAATAGCAACAAAGGGCAGTCCTTCCAGCACAATCAGCATTCGAGCGGCCAGGCGCGACTGCGTTGTGCGCGCGGAACGTGCTGCTGTGGGCGCAGCAAAGGGTGTGAAAAAAAAATGGTATGGCGCGTTTACAGTCGTATACGCAGTTTCTGTGGTTTAGTGATCACTGCCATGCGCCATGCACTGTGGTGTACACGCGCGATGTGGTGCGCGCATAGGCTGCTGCATCAGAATGTGTGCATACAGCCATTCGAGCGGCCGGGCGCGGCTGTGTTATGTTATGTGCCAGCGACCCCACCCACCCACCCAGCCACATAACGCGCGTTATGTGGAATAATAAAAACTTGATCTCCAAAACGTGGCACAAACATAAAAACTCGGAGGTCCGCGCGAATTTCTCGGATCGGCGCTGGGGGCCCCCGGCAGCGCCTCCGGCGCCGCCCTTGGCGCGCTCCGCGCGCCAGGGAGGGGGGTCCAGCGCCGATCCGAGAAATCCGCGCGGACCTCCGAGTTTTTATGTTTATCTTATTTTTTGTTTCCCTACTTGTTTTTCCCCATTTAGCAGGGCGTGAATTCCCTACCCCGCTATCGCTCCCAGGCGAAACCAAGTCACACCGCGCGCCTCTTCGTCGAGCGGCCTGGCCAATAATTACAGGCCGTAGTTTGGCATCGCTTGGTATCTCTTGGAAGCGAGGGTGGTCAAAAGAAATGTAGTTTGGTTTGCCCCCCAAAGCAGTGCTTGCACTGGAGGGGTCCTAGCGGAAGTTGAAAGATTCGGCGGAAGTTTCCCGCCGATTGGTAGCAGGCTGGGTTCCCGGGTTCCCGGTTCCGGGATCCGGGCCGATTGCGGTGGGTTTTGGGTTTTGGGCTCCCGGGTGCCCGGTCGATCTCTGGAGCGAAAACCATCCATTGATGGGTTTTTTTCTTTGGTGTCATTTGATTCGTTCTTTTGCCGATCGGCGCGGGCCCTCGTATCCCCCCCCCCCTGGAGTCGTTCTTGGCTGTTTTGGGCGCCTGTTTCGGGCAGGTGGAGCCTCCCCCACACTGGACCGCACTGTCGCAAACAGTCGCACGAAGCAGAGGGTCGGAGCCACCCCCCCCTCCTTCCGCCCGATGTCGAAACGCCGACTAAAGAAACGCTCACTGTATGGTGCCGCGCCTCGAAAACATCGGGCGTCGGGTGTCTGCTTGGCATCGCTCGGACGTGTGCATTTGTCCGTCGGCAAAGACCATCGAGGAGCATCCTTGATCATTTGGCGAAAAAGCCACGCACGAAACCGAAAAACAACACAGGGAAAGGACGTCCGAGCGATGGCCAGACTGAGGGTATGCCCACGGTCCCCCATTGCGGGCTGGGAGCCCGGCCCGCCCTCCTGCCCTGGGGCTCTGGACTCCCCCTGGGGGAGCGCTGGTTTCTTCGGCATGTGTTGTGTCGGGAGGAGGTCCGATCCCAGCAGCTCGTCTGGCGGGTCCGTCCGTCGAGCAAGCTTTCCCTGCGGCGGGGGGGGGGGCACGCGGGGATGGGAGGGGCGGGGGAGAGGGGGAGGGGGGGCTGTGTGGCTCTGGCGCCCGCGCGCCGGAGCCGCGGGTCCCAAACCCGTTTTGGCATGCCCCCGAGGACTTGGCATCGCTCGGACGTGTGCTTTTTTCCTTCGGCGAGGACCATCGAGGAGAATCCTTTATCATTTGGCGAAAAAACCACGCACGAAACCCAACAAAAACACAGGAAATTGACGTCCGAGCGATGGCCAGAGGAAGGGGAGGGAGGGGGGGGGGGGGGGAGGGCGTGCGGGGCGGGGAGGAAAGGGGAGCGGGCCCCCTGGGCTCACCCCTCGGGCCGAGCCCGGGGCTGCGAGGGAGCGACCACGCCATCGAGGGCGATGCTTGGGAGGCCTCTGGACAGCAGCAGCCCTTCTCCAGACATCCGCTGGTAGGATCCCTTCAACTCGCGGCCCCAGAGGTCCCGACCCCTTGCCTGGTGTTTTTTCGTCCCGGATCCATGTTGGATCAGTAACGGGCCCTGGAGGCCGAAATCCAGAAGAGACCGCCCGATTGCACAAATCGTGCAGTCGGGGCGCTGAAGAAGGAACCCTTTCCGTTGGGGGAGGGGCTCGGTGCTCCTTGATTGTGTTACAGCTTGCCTTAGGGGTTCCTGAGATTTTCCATTGGACATCGAAGTTTAACTTATGGGACCAAGAGCCCTCCTCCTCCTCCTCCTCCTCCTCCTCCTCCTCCTCCTCCTCCTCCTCCTCCTCTCCTCCTCCTCCTCCTCCTCCTCCTCCTCCTCCTCCTCCCCTCCCCCCCCTCCCTCCCCCTCCCCCTCCCCCTCCCCGTTCCTTCTTTCTCGTTTCTTAGGTCAGCGCCCCGACGGTATCTTCTCTGATGTTTGGGTCCTGCGGCCTCGCGGGCCCCTGGAAAGCGGGGTTGCCGCCCACCCCAGCCGGCGTCGTCGTGAGACCCTTTGCAGTCCAGAACGGGTGGGGGGGGAAACAGTGGAGGGTTTCTCCGAAGAGCTTAGGCGACCCCTCCTCCTCCTCGCCCTCCTCCTCCTCCTCCTTCCTCCTCCTCCGGCTCCTCCATCTCCTCCTCCCCCTTCCCCCTCCACCTCCTCGTCTGCCTCCTTCTCCTCCTCCTCCTCCTCCTCCTCCTCCTCCTCCTCCTCCTCCTCCTCCTCCTCCTCCTCGTGTCGCCTGCGGGCCCGGGGGAAACCGTGCAAGCATGGGGAGGCGGGAGGGGCAGGGGTTGACGAGGCGGCGCGGGAGGAGCAGAAGGGGCAGTGGGACGAGAGCAGGAGGAGGGGAAAAGGAGGAGGAGGAGCAGCAGCAGGAGGAGGAGGAAGAGGAGGAGACTGGGGTAAGAAGGTGCTGTCCAAAGTCGCGGATGGCCGCTCCCCTCCAGGTCTCAGGAGAAAGAGGAGGAGGAGGTGGAGGAGGAGGAGGAGGAGGCCATGGCGTGGGGGCACGATGGTTCAGACACATTTGGTTGATTTGGGATCACGGTCAGCTCCTCAGCTCCGCCCATGTGCGCACGATGCGGTGCCGCGCGCGCGCGCGCCCGCAAAGTGCCCCTGGCAGCTTTTGCAAAAGTGCGCTTCCACGGAGTCTAACACAGAAGAGGCTGCACGGACACAGGGCGTTCGAAGGTCTCCGCGCTCCTGTCGGCTCGGCGCCCGCCCCCCCGCCCCCCCCCCCCCGGCGTCGCTTCCGGCGGCGCCCCTGGCGCGCCAGAAGTCCGCGCGAAGGTCTACGAGTGCATGTCTGTTTGTTGTTTTGTTGTCCAGGGACGAAAAACCACCCCGACCACCATCACCTGCGCTTGCAGAACAGCCTTTGGCTATCTCTCGATGTTCTGTCCCGTCCGCGTCATCCCTTGGTGCGTTTATTCAACGGCTTCGCTTATCGTTGTTCTTGTGAGGGTGTTGTTTCTGCTCTCACGCCTCTTCGTCGTCATCGTCGTCCTCCTTACATGTATTCGTCTTCTTCGTCCTCCTTTCTCGTCTTCTTCCTCGTCTTCGTCTTCCTCATAAGTTTACCCCCTCTCAGGCTCAGAATTCGCATGCCCATCCTTATCATATTTTCCAGCCCAGTGCGTGCAGTAGCCGCGCACCGCGTCCGATGTGCCGTCCAGGCACGGTGCCGACGGACTTTTCGTGGTATTCTGGTCTGTCGATTCAGCACCGACTAGCGTCGATTAGAGTCGTTTAGTGCCGATCCGGAAGAGCCAGCAAGATCACATGGGAGGCTCCCATGAGCTGCCGCAGAAGGCTTGGTCAGTCCTCGCGGATTGGCCCGCGGCGGCGCCAGGCTTGTCAGCGGCATGCTGGAGATCGAGCCCACCAGGCGGCCGGACAGCGCCCAGGCGCTGCAGGTCACGCTGCCGCCCCTCTTCTGCCGCCCTTTGTCGTCCTCCAGTAGGAGGGTGGCGAAACAGGCAAAAGGCGAGGAGGAGGATGACCAGTGTAAACCCACGAGGCATCAACGATGTTGGAGTAAACCCGCCCCCCAAGCTCCCTCTTCACAGGCCCATGCAGCTGTTAATTTCCACAGGGAACTGCCTCGGTGGAAGACAACTGAAAGCCTGAAGCATGCAAAACATGTTTCTCTGGATTCCAACGCCACGGATCAACCTGACTGTTGCGTCTTGACGATCCTGAATCGTGCCAGAACGCCCTTCCTGGATCTTTAACACCGCGAACCAACGTAATTGTTGCACCCTCAAAATCCTGAACCCTTCCAAACTATCTTTTATGGTACGTTGATCATGGGGATCCGCGAAGCTCTTGCAAGTTGAAACAGCGAATGTGCACGGCGCTAAGGCGAGAGCCGCATTTTGGAAACCACCAGCCCCCAATCCGTGAAACTCTTACATTTGTTTGAACGAATGTGCGCGGCGCTGAGGCGAGAGCCGCATTGTGAAAAACACCCTCCCCCAATCCGTGAAATTACTGTAGCTTTTAAACGAATGTGCGTGGCGCTAAGGCGAGAGCCGCATTTTGAAAACCACCCGCCCTCAATCCGTGAAGCTCTTGCAACTTTTAACGAATGTGCGCGGCGCTAAGGCGAGAGCCACATGTTGAAAACGACCCACCATCCATCTGTGAAACTGTTGCCAATGTTTAATCTTCGTTGTCATAAGTGGTGAAGTCTCTGGCGAAACGCCCGGCCCGCCCTAAAAATTGGCCTCGGGGTGCGACGTGGAGAAGTGATTCAGAAGGAGAAGGAATGGAGGAGGAGGAGGAGGAATAGGCGGAGCAGATGGAGGAGGACGAAGAAGACAAGGAGGAGGAGGAGGAGGAGGAGGAGGACAAGGACGAGGAGCAGGAGGACGAGGAGGAGGAGGAGGACGAGGAGGAGGAACACGCGGAGGAGGAAATCCAGGGGGGTGGCCGGGAGTTTGGTTAGCGGGTTGGTGAGGGGTTGGTTCGAGGTTGGCTGGGCTCAACTTCAATTTTGCTCCATCCCAGGGCCTGCTTTTTCGTTCCTCTTCCGCCCCCTCCGTTTTATCTTCCTTTTTGTTCCCCCTTGCCATTGCCCGCCCCCGCGGAAGCAAACTGATGCGGCGAGGGAGGAGGAGGAGGAGGAGGAGGAGGAGGAGAGGAGAAGAAAAGAGAGGAGAGGAGATGAAAAGAGAAGAGAGGAGAAGAGAGGAGATGAGAGGAGAGAAATGGAAGAGGAGGAGGACCAGGAAAAGGAGGGTGAGGAGGAGGATGATAACAAGACGGAGTCTTAGGACGAGGAGGAAGAAGGCACATGACGGAGTTTACGAGAAGCACGGAGCTTGGTAAGAAGGATGCGGGGCTGTTTGATCGTGCCAGTGCGCCAGCGTAGTTCGCAAGGATTTTACCAAGGAGCTCATTCGATGTGTGCCGCATTGCGTTCGGCGATCATCCCACGGCCAGCGGTGTTGCCAGGATGCCAGGAGGGTTACTCCGAGCGGGTGGACTCGTTTCCAGCACAGCGAATGCAGTGCGAACGTTCTCCTTCCGATGAGCCTCCCACACTCAGAGGTCCCGTGCCTTTCCCCTTCCGACCAAATCCAGTGCCCTTCTTGTGAGCTTCGTGAACGTGCTGGCTTGTTTCTGCTACAGTTCGCGCTGGCAGCGTTGCATGTCGGACCAGCGCGCCAAACGTTCTGGCTCGAATGCGGGCAACGTCTATATCCACATCCAGTGCGTCTTGGAGTTTCGGACTCTCTTCCCAAGAAACATGAGGCGCACTGGATATGGATTATAATCTGCCTCCAAAAGGCTCGATGCTTATCCATATCCAGTGCGCCTCGGCCTTGCGGCGCCCCTTCCAAGAAAGTCCAAGACGCACTGGACATGGAAATACATGTTGCCCGCATCGAAGAAACCGCGCCTCGAATTAACGGGGCTGGTGGCAGGAACCCTCACTCCGAGCGCGCCGGCTTGCCCATGGTGCTTCTGGCATGACCTGCATTTCTGCCGAGGACTCTGCCGATCGCGCGGCTTCCGTGGGGCGTGGGGGCCGGAGCAGCGTCCAGAAGGGTTTCTCTGAATCGTGAATGTTTATCTTAATCGTGAAATTGTGAATTTTACGTAGTGTCATAGCGTAGTGTTGGCATCTCGTGTGTATGACACTACGCTACGGTTTGTGTGGTGTCACAACGTAGTGTCATAGCGTAGTGTTGACCTCACGTGGGTATGACACTACGCTTCCGTGGGGCGTGGGGACCAGAGCAGCGTCCAGGCTCAAGCAGGCCGCGACTGCCGCATCGCGCGCGACGATGGGCAGGCCACCCACCAGAGGTCGCTCTTGCCTGCGGCAGGTTCCTGTCGTGCCG